CCTTGGAAAACCATAATGGTTTGATTTAGGGAGGAAAGGATCAGCAGAGCTTGAGCAAGAACTTCTTTGGGGAAGTGATGCTTTTTACCCCAGCTCTTTCAAAGAATTGGTTTAAGCCTCAGATTTCTGGAGAATTTGCAGGTAAAGAGGCCTAAAGCTGTGTACCCTAGTCTCTCTAACCCCCTCCTCCAAATCAGGCCCCTCTGGGGACCCCAAGGAAAATGGGGGGCTGTTACTGCCACCCATGAGGTTCTACTGAAAAAACTATCTCCTCACAGTGGCAGTAAACACTGTGGGAAGCAGTGTTGTCCTTTAAGCAAAAATGCCAATCGTTGTCCTGTGTAATACTCTGGTGCAGGTGCATTCTAAAAGCTCTAGCTATGAGCTTGACACAGTCTGGTATATGGAATTCAGGACTTCTAAACTCATATCCTCAACTAGTGCTCAGAAGCCACAAGGCTCTCTCCAGGCAGTTGGACTAGGGTTGAGGGTCGGTTCCACCTCCTCTCAGCTGGGGGACCTTGGGCAATTGCAGCTACTTTTCCTCTTCTGTAAAATAAGAGTGATGATACATGCCCTGTGATGAATAAGCAACAGAATGAGTGGATGAGTTCAGGGTTTGGGAAATTTCATAACACATTGTTAACACTCACACCAATTTATGAGGTTAGTAGTATCATTTTCATCCCATTTCATAGAGAAGGTTACTGAAGCCCAGTTATGTCACAGGGACTCGTCCCAAATCTCAGTGCTGCCTTTCTGGTCCTGGTTCCCACCACCTGACTGTCCAGTCAGCTTGCCCAAGCTTGATGAGGGAACAGCACCGCACTGAGCAAAATATTTATAAATAGGTAAAGAATGAGTGGGAAATGGGTTTGCAGATGAAAAACATACACAAATGTAAAAGGCTATTTCGTGTCCCAGGATCCTGAGACAACATTTTTCATGAGTCTTGTTCAAAGAGTTTGATTGTTATTTTATTGTTAAGAGTTATTGCATTTGGAAGAAGGAAAAGAATATAAGAGGACTTTAGAATTTAATGAATATGCATGTTTTGTTTTGTTTGCGTTGAGCTTTTTAATTCAGATCCCTACCAAGTACCTTTCTTATTTTTCTCTTTTTGTCACATGGAAGTCTTTAATTATATGGGTTCTTTGCAGAAAAATTAAGAAATAGTGATAACCCTCAAAAAGGGAAATGGGTAAATATTATCCATAAACCACCACACAGCAGTAGTGGCTGTTCACATGGCTGTCAGCATTCATACATCTACATCACAAATACTGGATCGTATGGTTCATTCTGCTCAGTAGTCGGAAATAATTATGCAGTATTTCATGAACAGATTGTTTTTTAAATAGAAAGGACCTTGACCTTCAACATGGGACAGAGAAGGGAGAAAAACCATCTCCCCCAGACTGCACCTGTAACTTCAGTCGCTTGAAATGGGGTCTGTGGGGCTTCCTGCTGATGGAGCATCACGCTGATGTGTGATGAGGAAGACTCACAAGAAAAGGAACAGCTTTGGGCTGTCACCCCGTTGTGATTTAGGATAGGCATTTGCTAGGGTAGCAAAAATCAGGGGAGTCCATAAAGTTGCTCTGTCCAGAGAGGTTTCTGTTTCTGGTAGCTTGTTCCAGAGCACCTTGGGTGAATACTGATGTAAGACCATACGAACGCTGAGCAGCTTATGACACAGGTACACCCGAGAAGGAGCTAAGTCTACCAGTGCAACCAAATGAATGACATAATTATGGTCTCACCAAGCTCCAGCCACACTGGCCTCCTTTCTCTTCCTGCAGCAAGCCAGACATGAGGGCTTAACAGTTGCTGGTTCCTCTGCCCAGACACTGTCCCCCCCAGCTCATCAAAGTCAGCTTAAATGTTACTTCCATTTAGGTCTCCCCGGGCTACTCCATTTGAAGGGGGCTTAACCCTTCCCCACCACCCAGTAACTATCCTGGCATTACCATCTGTGTTGCCTCCAAGGCACTTGTCATCCCATGAGATTATCCTATTGATTTGTTTGTCTACTGCTTGTGTGCTTCACTGGCCAGCAAGCCTTTTGGAGCAGAGAACGCACCGGTCTCACCCCGCATAGCACCCCGCTGTGTAGCACACAGCAGGCACCTTCATATGCTCACTGGGTGAGTGTTAGGACTCTTTGTCAAGTAAAGCGGATGTCAATGAAACTTTTTAAAAAGTTACCATATAGTTTTGCAAAAATAATAGATGGAATGTTAAATAAAATATGGCCATGTCGTATGTAAAACCGAACTGAACGCTGCTGAAAAGTAGGATACAGCATAGGTGCTGGAGGCCATTCAGGGTTTTTGAACTCCAGTTGCTCAGTCTACCTATGATGAGAGTCTTGGTTGAAAATGATTGTCACATTAGCAAAATATTACATTTATCACTAGAGCAAAGAAATGAAGGAAGAAAAAAATATTTTCAGTTCCAGAGACATGATAGACACCTTTATTAAAAAATATACATCTTTAAATATACATTTTAAAACATCTAAAAAGTGACACTATAAAGCCCTTGAGGTACGTTTTATATCTTGTAGGAAATAGCATCATTTTTGAAAACCCCTGTAATAAAATAATTGCTCGAATGTGAGGTTGGTCTGGAAGATGTAGACAGTTCTTTCAGGAGCATGAACCTTGCATTTGATCTCTATTTTTGTGTGCACTCGTCTCTTGGATCCTCACCTTATCGGTTATAGTTAGAGGCAGCTGCTATAAAGCAGGAGAGGTGGGAGGGAGTGTCTGTGGTCCCACTCTGTTGATGTTTGTTTTTACCTCATGGTTGAATTCACCTGAAGCTCTAAGCGTCAGGAAACATAAAGGAAGTAGGACTTTGTAAGCAGAATGAGGGATCGTGTGCTGTGCCAATGCTTCAGGAGCTGGTAGAAATATAGATGATTTATAGGTGTGGGGTATTGATGTCAGGAATATAGCCAGGAAAAAGGAAGGAGTTGAGGTTTTTTTCAAAAAGGCTATTTGGAGATCTTGGCATGGCAGTCTGTAGCTTTTCAGAAGTGACCTCTGGACTAATAATTGGCTTTTTAGCCTCAAATAGCCTTTTTATCTCCAGAGAATGTGGATTGAGTCTAATTCAGTTCTCTAGTTAATTGCTTGAAATAATACATTGTGATTCCTGCCAGAAGGAGCCAGACCCTGCCTGCAGGCAGCTTTAGAAGAGCATCCTGAAAAGGCCTAGGACTTCATGTAAATTTATCCTTTGTTGCAAGTTTCCTATGTTTTCCTGTGGTCTTTCTTTAACTTCAAATTGATTGCAGTATCCTGGGCAATTCCCCAGGGCATTTGTCAAAGTTTTCTGCGCAAGGAATCTTAATACTTTCTGTAACTGATAATATCCTTCCCTCTGCCCCTCCCCATTTCTCCTTGCCCCTCCCCGCTCCTTCTTCCTCATCCTCCCCCTCCTCTCTCCTCTTGGACACACCCAACAGTATGTTGGGCCTCACCTCACAGTATTCCGCAGTGGCCTTGGCCATCTGCGTGGACCCACACACATGATCCTGCCAGTCTGTGAATCTGGACTAGCTTTCCTAATGAGGGCATTATTTGCTTTTTAGCCTGCCCCCTTGTTTATAAAATATGCCAAGAGAGCTAAACAGCCCGCTGTTCCCAGTACTTCCTTACTTGCCCAAACCAAATGTTTATGTCCTTGAATGCTAAACTTGAAGAAAAAGGATTCCTCCTCGTGGGAAAGCTTACCATGATTGCTGAAGGCTCTTTCTACACTGTAGCTGAAGGCCTGTTTCCCAGTAAACATGCAACTTACCAGTGACTTTAGGAACTCTTCAGACTCACTGTTCAGACTCATCAGCTGGCCTTGGAGTGTGTGTGTGTGTGTGTGTGTAGGGAGGGGGAGAAGGGTAGGGGGTGCTGCTTGCTCTAGGATTGTCTCTCTCCTGCCTTCCCAGGCCTTTCTGGAACAGCCCCTTCCCTGTGACCATATTGGATCAAAGCATGCTCTCCAGAGCACTCCCAACTGCATCCCCCCACACCTACCCTGTTGGGAAGTGACACTCCCCCCCCCCCCCCCCCCATACCTCCCAGCCAGGTCCAGCATTCTGAGCTTGGCTTATTCTAAAGCCATAGTTGAAATATAACCTAAGACCTGAGAAAGAAAACAAAAAGCGTACCTTGTTGCCCTCACCTGTAGCATGCCCCACTGTGGCCAGCCTCCTGGAGAGCCCGGTGCTACTGGGGCAAGGCTTCTGGGCTTGCAGCAGGTTCAGGATCCCTGGGGAGCTTCTGGAACACAGGCTGCCTGCTCACAGGCAACTCAGAACCTGGTACCTTTGTTTCCGGATGCTGACCAGGTGAGTCTGATAGAGCCAGGATCCAGAGACTGGCTGTCCTGGCCACAGCTGAGACATTTGGTTCCTCTCAAGTACATCTGATGTAAATCACATTATTTATCTTCTCCTGGCAAGTTTTCTGCCGAGCACACATTTGCCACCTTTCTTTGTTTCTTTTTCAACAGGGAGAAACATTTCCTTGTTACCTTTACTAGATTATTTAGGAGGAGAGTGTAAATTGAAGCCATTTATCTTGAAATGTGCTGCCGGGGCACATTGTTTACACAAGTGAAAGAAATTGTAACAGGGGTATTTGGTCTTGTCTGCAAGGAAAAGGTGTCTCAAGTTTTCCTTCCCCTTCCCCCTTTATACATATGGCACATTAGTTAGAAGGTGCACAAAGCACGTATGCATTAGGTTTGCATATGCAACAGACAGGACAGTTGTTCATGGCCTTAGTATTTTTTCCGTGTTGTTTTTTTTTAATTGGTGAAATGAACATTGCCAGTAATAATAAAGTGAACGTTATCCCCCAAACATCAGCCCTGCATTTTCATGACCAGAGATAATTTATCCTGTATCCTATACCTCTTAGTGAGATAACAGAACATGAATTCATGGGGATATTTCTGTTCTAATTGAAACCTGTACATGTTTGTCAGTTGGTGGACGAGTAAGTCGCGAATTAAACTATACTCGCCAGAAGATTGGAGAGGAGGCTATGTTTAATCCTCAGCTCATGATTCAGACCCCGAAAGAAGAAGGTGCTAACGTCCTGACCACGGAAGCTCTCCGACAACACCTGGACTCCGCCCTCCAGGCCAGCAGAGTCCATGTATATATGTACAACAGGTAAGGTGGCGGGAAGAAGCGGCTGGTTTTACTAAATAAGGTTGTGCTGGAAATATGCTTCCAGTGTTCAAGTAGTTTTCTGATAAGTGGGATTTTCTTAAATCTTGAATTTCATTTCTAGAGTTTGGTAACAGATCAAATATGTTATAATGTATTTTCACTAAGTATCTTGGCACTATATACCCAAATGAGTATGAGTTTTCAAGCAGCCATTTGGGTGGCTATACAGCCATTCTGAGGATCTTTCCTGCTTAAGATATTTTTGGAGCAGTTACATTTTGAATTGCCTTTAGTCAAAAAGACTGAGAAAAGAGGGGCATCTGAGTGGGGCTCAGTTGGTTAAGCATCCGACTTCGGCTGAGGTCATGATCTTGTGGTTCGTGGGTTCAAGCCCTGCATCAGGCTCTATGCTGACAGCTCAGAGCCTGGAGCCTGCTTCGGATTCTGTCTCCCTCTCTCTCTGCCCCTATTCCACTCACGCTCTCTCAAAAATAAATAAACATGAAAAAAAATTGAAAAGAATGAGAAAAATGAAAGACTTTATGTATGGTTACTTTGTATTCACTACAGATATTGACAGCATGTGTCACAAAGCATATAGCGGTTGAGTCACTATGGTGAATTCTTACTGACGGGTAGGCAGATATGGTGGAATTATATATATATATATTTTTTTAATTTTTTTTTTCAACGTTTATTTATTTTTGGGACAGAGAGAGACAGAGCATGAACGGGGGAGGGGCAGAGAGAGAGGGAGACACAGAATTGGAAACAGGCTCCAGGCTCTGAGCCATCAGCCCAGAGCCTGACGCGGGGCTCGAACTCACGGACCGCGAGATCGTGACCTGGCTGAAGTCGGACGCCTAACCGACTGCGCCACCCAGGTGCCCCAGATATGGTGGAATTATAATACAGCCTCACAAAATATTTCCCTTTAGCTTCAAAACTAACTTAACAGTGCTGTGGGTATAATAAAAGCATATGAAGAGTTCGGGAACAAAATTGACAGTCCTTCTTCTCTATTTAAACAGTGCGTTATTCAGGGCAGGGACCACATCGTGTCCATTCTTCCACCCCCAGCATTTAGATCAGAATTTGTTGATTGACTAACTGCCTAGATTGATACATTTGAACTGGATCTTCTCCCTGAACTATTGGGATGACTGTCACTAAACCCTGTTTTCAGGGGACTGCTTACTCAGTTGGCATTTGCCTAACCCCAACCTGTCCCTCACCTCTTAACTGACTGGTTGATGATACAGTTTTTCACAGGGGAGGTGAGGAAGTGCCACTGTATACCTATTCAGAGGCCAGGGAGAATGAGGGGAGAAAATAAAAGGAAAATCTGTACTTGTCCCTGCTACGGTAACCTCCACTCCCCATGGTCTTCACTGGATTGTCTCTAAGACCCATCTAGCTGGAGACAGCACCCTAAGGTCCAGCATGAGTCACATATCTTTGACATGCTCTTGTTTCCTCATCTGTAAAGTCAGTTACTGATCAAGTGTGGTCTATTATCCTCAGGAGGTTCTGAGAACAAGATATATAATGTATGAAAAGGAAAATGTAAGAAGGTATTCTAGCACTCTTGTCAAGCAAACTTGGCTGGTGAGCACATCCCCGATCTTATCAGCACATCCCTCCCATTCTGCAGTGGAAGCAACTCCCCAGGGCAGTTTTGCAGAACTTTCAAGTAGAGGCCCTGCTGGGAATTTGGAAATAAATAAGTTCCAGGGCCACTGAAAGCATGCTGTGACCCATTCTTAACACAATGGGACCCTACCTTGAAGGACTTGTCACTTAGACACTTAAGGAGAAGATGTGAGTGTCTGTACAATGAAATTAGATTCTTAATCTGAGATGGAACCAGAGAACTTTTATGTGTTGGAATGAGCTTTAAAGAACACCTAGTTAAACCCATCTCATTTTTTAGATGAGAAAACCAGGAATTAGATTAACTGGACCATTTGTCCAAGTTCATACAATTTTTAAACACTAGAGCCAGTTTTCAAACCCTTTCTTCTGGCTCCAAGCCCAGGGGCTTTTTTAAGGCACAGCCATGACCTCTCAAGCAAGTGTAAATGAGTTCACTGATCAGGTGATATTGACAACCCACTCAGGCTAGATGGTCTGTGTTGATGCTATGTGGAGTTCAGTATAAACATACACATAGATACATGAGTAGGTGGGTGGGTGGATGGGTGGGTGAGTGGATGGAAGGATGGATGGATAACTTGGGCCCTGCATTAGGAGCCAATGGTCTAGTTAGAAAGAGGAAAGTATCACACCATAGATGGGCATGTACGAAGCCAAACACAGATACTCCCAAGTCCAGGTGCTCCACGTATCAAACAGATCAGACCAGCAGTGTTCTGTGGTTCATGAGAAAGGAGTCATTTTCAATAGCCCTGGGCAAAAAAAAAAAAAAGCCTAGTGGGAAGGTGTGGCATTTCAGTGAGGACCCTGAGGGATAGATGCGAAGGTTCCACAGGGAAGAGGGCTAAGTCCAGAACATTCCTTTGGGTGACCAATAAAAAAAAAAGAAAAAGGAGATGAATAAATAAATAAACTAGAGCAATTTAGAGAGACTCAAAAAAATTTTTTTCTCTTGGATTTCCCATCCCTATACTTTCCAAATTTCTTCTTTTTTCAAGTTAAACTCCCTGATACACTTGCAAAGGCATGTGCTTATAGAGCATTTTTCTAGAGATGTCAGAGTTCTTTAGTATTCTATAGATAGATGATAGATAATAGAGATAATTGGTGATCAGTATATTTAATAACATTTCTATAGAACAAGAATAAAAAAACTGTAAAGTAGGAAATCTGTCTACCTGGCAATGCTGTTTACAGCATTCATGGTTCAGAGCAGAATTCGTTTGGAACACTGTCTGTTAATAAGGACGTTAACTGCCAGTAAAAATAAGTCAGTTACGTTTTCCCACCTAAATATATGTTAATACATTATAAACCTTACTAATTAGTCTCCACGTATTTTGAATTTGTGATAATTCAACTGAATTATCTGCCCTGAAGTTGTTCAGTGTATGTAGAAAAGCAGATAATGGCGTAAACAAGATTATTGGGAGAACACTTAAGAAAACAGGACTTTTCAAGTACTTTGGTAGCATTCATTTACATAAGCACCCACATGTTAATTACAATTGAGTATTATCTATTCATTAAATTAAGCTTGTTGAGTCTTTACTTGCCAAAAGTTGTGTTCATTTTGACAGATACCTAAAAGTGATCAAAATTGCAGTTCTTTCTATATGTTCTGTTGTCCTGATTTTGCATGGATTTCCATACTTTATTACAGTGACAAATGTTTGTCTCTCCTTTCTATTTTAATAGGCAGTGGAAATTGGAACATTTGTGTTACAAATCTGGAGAACTTATCACAGAAACAGGTTACATGGATCAGGTATATTTTCTTTTTTTGCATACAATTCTCAAAAATTCCTCAATGCTATGCAATAGCCTAATGTGTGGCCTATTTTTTTTTTTTTTAACTTTGACAGATAATAGAATATCTTTACCCTTGTTTAATTATTACACCTTTGGATTGCTTCTGGGAAGGGGCAAAGTTACAATCTGGGACAGCGTACCTACTGTAAGTGTGTGATATCATTTTCTGATGTCTGATTTCTGAACTTTAGAAGGTTTCTGTGATGTTACTTCATCATTGTTTATTCTGTTTTAGTTTTGAACAAGAAATAAAAACATTGAGATTCCATGGGCATGTTTTGAGTGAATAGTTGGGGGAGAGGGGATTTTAGCAGAATGTTTTTCCTCTTTTCAAAAAAAAAAAGTTCTGAAGGCATCATTAAATTTCATTCACTTTTACCAACCTATTTATATGCAAATAAAATGCAAATTATTTCAGAGTATGTATGATTTTTAACTCTTTAATAAGATATTTGCAGTTTTGCTGACCAAGCCCTTCCATAGGTTTAGTTTATTTTTTAAGCAGAGAATTTATTAGTGCGTGCATGTCAGAATTAAACATATTGAGTTAAAGTTCAAGATCTTCCTGTGAAGTAAAATACTAACCTTTCTTTGGATCACATTAATGGCATTTAAGGGGGAAATCCGCTATCTTTGAAGGCCGTAGCAGGGGATGCTTCACAGTTTAGCAGTTGGATATTATACATACCACGTCATTTAAGGAATAATTGTTAATCAGTGTAGACATTTTCAGTTAATTATGCAAGAGTTCGTGCTTGGGTTATTGTTTCTGTCCTAGCTTGCACATATCTGCAAAAGCAATTTGCAGTGGCCATACCCTGACCTTCAGTGTACAGTTTTAGATGGGAAATAAGGGGTTTTGTGTTTTCTGGTTGGGAGATTCTGAATAATGACTTCAGCCTGGTTAAGCAGCTACAGTGTGGTTTGAACCACATAACAGGCAGCCAAAAGCCTTTCTGGTCTGTCAACAGCACAAATTCAAAAGTGAGTGTGGGGGGAAGTGGCCTTGATGGTGGTGATGGCAGAGGCAGCGGGGGGCTTTCGGGGTCGACTGCCAGGCTGTCAGAGAGAGCTCATAAGTATGGGATTATTAAAGGTAATGGAGATCAAATATTTTGATTGATGACATTTACAAAGCATTTATTAGGCTGGCAAGTGCTAATTTGACATTGTGATTCCTTCTCCCACCCACCCCCCACCCCCCCTAATTTTGGATCTCAGTCTTTTGCTAGGAAGTGCCCTTTGGCTAATTCTGTAGTAGGTATTAAATATGACATATCAGCCAGTAAAGATTCTTTGATCACTTCATTAATTTACAAGCTCTCTGCTTGGCATTTTTGTTCATGAATTACTTTCCTGACTCAGGTTTGCATACAGATACACTGGAAAGGAGCATTTATTTTGTATGCCAGGGTCCCAGAATTGCAGCACAACCAGAAAGCCTCATGCAATCCAGACACAATATATACAATATACGCCGTCTTGGAGGCTTGGAAAAGAGGCTTGGAAGCCTCCTTTCATGGTCTCGCCTCCTAATTTCTTTCACAGAGGTAAGCCTCCTTTGCAGTGGACAAACTTTGACCCTTTGGAATTCCTAGAAGAGTTAAAGAAAATAAACTATCAAGTGGACAGCTGGGAGGAAATGCTGAATAAGGCCCAAGTTGGTCATGGTTACATGGACCGGCCCTGCCTCAACCCGGCTGATCCAGACTGCCCTGCCACAGCTCCCAACAAAAATGCAACCAAAGTGAGTACAGTCCTCGATTCTTTCCTGAGAGAGAAAAACTTGATGTCTTTCCCCCATTTGGAGTTCTATTATTTTCATTTTTAAGATTTGATTCTTAACGACTTTTTTTGTCTATGGAGCTAAGTTTGTTTATAGAGCTAAATTTTGCTGTAAGATTTGCCATACGCCTCTCATTAGCCTTGTTATTAATGTTCTCTCTGAAACAAACAAGCCCTTAAAGCACTGGATTTTAACAAGGCATGTGACCTGCCTACTGATTCCCGTAATTATGTGGCTGTCTTTTTATTTTAGCCTCTTGATGTGGCCCTTGTTTTGAACGGTGGATGTCATGGATTATCCAGAAAGTATATGCACTGGCAGGAGGAACTGATTGTGGGTGGCACAGTCAAGAATAGCACTGGGAAGCTTGTCAGGTAATCCAACATATGGAGGAAAAATCCAAGCCGTCTATTTTTTGTCCTTTCCTCAGAAACCACTTCCCTTCTGACATCTGCAAGTGTATTTGCATTAATACCTAACTGTTATCCTAGCTAGCCGCCTGGTGTAATAGAATCTTAGGAAATATTACTGGACCAGACCAGCTTGAAAGAACACCTTGTGGGGAATTTTTCAAGAGGAGATTTGTTGTTTTCATTGAGACTCTAGTTAGTGACTACAGGTTTTTAGAAGACCTGTCAGGTAGAAGATCAGGACAAGTGTAAAGTGGGCAGAAAACATTGGTCATAGCCAGTGGGGTGAAATGCTGTGACAGCTAAACAAGAATGATCCTCTGTGCACTTGCGGACTCTGCTGCGGCAAGCGTCAGGCTCTCCGTCTGAGATCTGTCCCTTGGGAGAGCCGTCGTCTGGGATTTCTGCACAGGCAAGCACGCAGCGCTGAGCCCAGCATATCTGGTCAAGCTATCTACTCCCCGACCCTTCCTGTTTCACTGAATAGAAACTGAGAAAGGAAATTGCCTATTAATTTAATTTCGGGGTATATCTGTAAAAGGTTTGTAAGGTTACACCTTTAATATGGTACATCAATCTATTAAATAAAATAACCATCAGGTCCTGTTTAATGGAAACATGTGCTCACATAGAAGGAGAGAATGGCCACAAGTGAATTGGGGGTGCTTGTTTGTGATTCTAAGCTGTGAGAACTACTTCCTGGAAATGCTGATGTTGTGTCTTTACCACCCATCACAGTGCCCATGCCCTGCAGACCATGTTTCAGTTAATGACTCCCAAGCAAATGTACGAACACTTCAAGGGGTATGAGTATGTGTCACACATCAACTGGAACGAGGACAAGGCAGCAGCCATCCTGGAGGCTTGGCAGAGGACGTACGTGGAGGTAAATCGCCAGCATTCCGATGCCTACCTTTGAATCTGGGTACAAACCCCTTAGTTACTAAATACTTCATTGTAGCAATGTTTTAAAAGATTTTTTTTCATTAGAATTTATTTTCAAAGCAAATTGTCATTTTGGGTACTTGGTGGGATGGAAACTTTTTTTCCTTTCCTAGATAGACATTGAAAATCTTAATGTCTGGGTGATGCTAATTCTAATTGGGATGCCTGAAATATTCTGAGTAACCAGTTGTGAACTCCAGAACTAGGCATAACAGTGTTTAAAACAACAACAACAACACTTGGTTAGCAAGAAAAGGTGTCTGGAAAACATTAGCAAGGCATAGAATCTATTCACAGCTGCAGTCCCCTTGGTTAGGTCATATGACAGGAGCTGGCCTTTGTTTCCCAAGCAGTGACCTCTGCTGAGCTGCATGTGACCTTTTAAAAATGGCCAGCAAACAAAGTGGGGAGGAGTCACCACAGGAATGAGTTATTTTAGATTAGTGGGGAGCCGAGGGGACCCACAGATCAGTTGTACAGTGGCAGAGAGGTGAATGGGTGGAGTAAATAAAGCTTGGAGTGGGCTTCAAGGATTCTGGCTCACCGCAGCACCAGATTCTCACCTGATTAGCAATGGCCTTCATTGTTCCAGGCCCAGGGTCATTTCATGTTAGTCCAAGTTCAAACCTGGATCATGTAGAACTCTTTAATGCATCAGAAAAAAGTGAGGGTTGAGTGGAGGGGGCATGTCCCCCAAGATCTGTGCTGTCAAAGCCCATTGAAGCTTTAATTCCATGTCGGACTTTATCCTTATGTTGTGACCACAGGTAGTTCATCAAAGTGTCGCCCCGAACTCCACACAGAAGGTGCTTTCCTTTACCACAACGACCCTGGACGACATCCTCAAGTCCTTCTCTGATGTCAGTGTCATCCGAGTGGCCAGTGGCTACTTACTGATGGTAACAGTCAATTCAGTTCTCCTGGGGGATGGGGCGGTTGGTTTGGTTTTTAGTTTTTATCTTTCCATGACCGCTCCTGCTTTTTAACTGCTCTTAACACACACGTGCATCAAAGACAGAGAGAGCTCTGCTTCATAACGGTTTCAAAAGTGGTCGTGTAAAGCGTTTTCTCCCATTTGTAGTTTGCCCATCTCTGACTCATATCATTTCATGTGATGTCTGTAATGTAAATTTTTTGTTGTTGTTGGATTCAATAAGTTCTACTTTTTGATTTGGGGTGATGGGTGGGGGAAAACATTAGAATCCTTACACATTCTAATGTTTGGCTTTTGTTTTGTGTCTCCCCCCACCGCCCCCCATCCCCCCTTGTTCCTTCACCTGCCCCCCACCCTGTGGTTCTGCTCGCAGCTTGCCTATGCCTGTTTAACCATGCTGCGCTGGGACTGCTCCAAGTCCCAGGGTGCCGTGGGGCTGGCTGGCGTCCTGTTGGTTGCACTGTCAGTGGCTGCAGGATTGGGCCTGTGCTCATTGATCGGGATTTCCTTTAACGCTGCAACAACTCAGGTACTAAAGGAGACATCCATCCACTATTTATTGACAAACACCCCTCCCCAGGCTTAGCCCTGCGACCTCCTATGTGTCCCTGTCACCTAAAGAGTCTTCCGTCCTTTGCCACCAAGATGCCACACTTTGGGGGAGGGGGCTGCTGCCTCAAAGTGGAGCTCTTGGCAGTGGGGGGGG